ATTGGCAATCATACCACATCTCCATATTTTTATATTGTAAGTTATGAATGTATTTAGAACTGATTGAAAACTAGTTCTGTAGAATTTGAAATTATAGGACAGTGAATGTTTTTAATCACTTTTACCCTTTATGTAGCATCAAATACACATTTCATTAAATTAAAGCTGCATAGACCAAAGGACAAGGATATGAACAATAACAGATCATCGTACGGTCTTCAACAATGAGCAAAAACTCATACCATATGATAAGCTATAAAAGGCCCATGTAAAACTTACGTTGTCTCATTCTGATAGAAATTCTTGCGAATCTTATTTTATTTACCTTTATTATTGCCAGTCTGACCCTTGAATTATAAGACGATGCGTCTCTTCTGTATAATGGAAAAGCATGGACATTGTTTATTGATTTATGACACATAAACACTTGACAAAAAAGCAATTGAACAAAGCTTTATAAAAATTAAATGTTCTATATTTCATTATCACAGTGACTCAAGCATCATGAAACGTGCTCAAATTCAATGAAGGTTCCTACCAACAAGTTGAACGGAAACTTTTGCTATATTTCGCTAGCACCATATCTGTGAATTGAAGTTCACAGATGTAGAGTATCATCAACCAACTACATACTATATCGGACAACAAAATACACCACAAATAAACATTGTCATCTTTTGCCCGACCATCATGATAATGAAATCTAATTGATAATGTTCTATGTATTCCTTTAGAAGATTTAAATATCATACTAGCTTTGCAGTATTGTGCAATTAATGCATATGGAAATAAGGAAATATGGTATGATTAGCAATGAGAAAACTATCCACTAGAAACATTTACCTAATAAAGGTCCGATATAACAAAATGTGAAACAATTAAATGTGAAACACATTTTCAGGTGAAGACAGTGTTGTACTGATAAATTGGCAGAAATAAGTAAAATTGTGCAGCAGAGGATTCATATGCTAACTAACCAACTCTGAATATTTCGAACTATTGATCCTAAAAGGTAAGAGATTTTCCGGAAATATTCATGCTATCTGGGACACACAGAGTCTACCTGGATTTTTAAATTACGCATCAAATAAAATCAAACAGAAACAGATGCGTTTTAATGAAAATGTGTATATAATATTTCTAATGCCGATGATGTTGAAAGTCTATAAGAAACAACAGAATTCTGACTACGTTGTAAACAAATGAAATTGTATGTAGGATTTCATAATTTTTGGAATTCCTACTGCCGCGTCCATATATAAAAGAAAACCCCAAGATATTTTTAACGCAAATGTGATCTCACACAAGGACAGGTTATAATTAAATGACCATGTCAAAAGTCACAGTGACTGTTAACCTTCTATTTATACTTAAGAACCGATATAGCTAGACGACTAATTTGGTCAACGAAGGGATTACTACTATTACTTTGTTATTTTCGGTTTTAAGTCAATACACTAACGACGATGATAAAGGTCTGTTTAGAAGTCTTCTAACAAATTAAAGTTTCTGAGATATGCCTTTTACAATTATTTTTTTAGAAACACGGAAAAATATCGTTCAAAATGAAAGCGTAGGCTTGCTGATTCATTTTTACTATCAATAAAATGGCCTTATAACCTACTTCTTTTTGAATAAATTTCATGCCCAAATGTTTCTTTTAATACAAGTCAGTAAACACTACATAGTCATTTCAGAAAGTTCTCCAAACATCAAATGCCCCATCAGGTAATGCAATACATTATATATGGGGAATTCATGTTATTTTGTGAACATCAATTCAAATCTGTGTAAATAATATGAAATAATAAAAAAGATACCAAAAGAAGCAATTGAAAGATCAGTCCAAGAGGACAGATAACTCCATGGCAAATGCAAAAAATGCACAGAAAAATCTCTGCGCATCGTATCAAGCTCCATCATAAAAAACTATGCTCGAATTCAAATGTTCTGGATATTTAAAAGGTTCCGACATGACAAAATGTGAAACAATTAAAATATGTGAAGTAAATTTTCAGGTGAAGACAGTATTGTACTGATAACTTGGCAGAAATAAGTAAAATTATGCAGCAGATGATTCATATGCTAACTAACCAATTGTCTTACTGAACATTTCGAACTATAAGGCTACGTTATTGATAAAAGGGTAAACGATTTTCTAGAAATGTATTCAATTAAGTATTTATGTTATCTGGGACAGAGTTTACCTGGATTTTAAAGATACGCATTACATGAATTAAAACAGAAACAAATGCGATCTAAATTTGCACATAATAATCATGTTAATAATAATGATAATTTATTCTTAATGCCGATGATTGAAAGTCTTTAAAAAATTAATGAATTCTTACTAAACCAATGAAATTGTATGTAGGATTCCATTAATATTGGTTTCCCTATTGCATTGTCCAAAGATATAAGAAAACCCCAAGATATTTTTAACGCAAAAATGATTTCACACCACAAGGACAGACAGGTTTAAATGACCAGGTCAAAAGTGTCTGTATACCTACAGATATATTTAAACTATTACATGTATAGACCAAATAAGGGATTACGACTCATATTACTCTGTTACTTTCGGTTTTAAGTAATATATATTAACCACATGATTTCAGACAAATTTGAATATTTCTGAGATATGTCTGTAATTGTAGGTCTTTTTAGAAGCACGGGAAAATATCGCACAAAAAGAAAACGTAGGCTAGATGATTCATTTTTACCACCAATGAAATAGCATTGTACGCTACTTTTGATTTTGAATAAATTTCATGTCTAAAAGTTTCTTTTGGTACAAATACGTAAACATTTCATTTCAGAAAATTCTCCAAACATCAAATTACCCAACAGTAAATACACTTAACAATTAATATTTTCACACTCGTATTAATAATTTCATGGCTATTTTTTTTAATCATGTTTTGCATTAATACAATATGTATAGGGAAAGCATGTTATTTTATTAACATCAATTTCTGTACAAATACTGCAAAACAATAAAAAGTTATCAAAAGAAGCAATTGAAAAATCACAAAATAGGACAGACAACTCCATGGTCAAAGAAAAAAGACAAAAAAAATCCACAAAATGCAAAGCAGGAAATTTTCCGAACAGTATCTCAACCATAGAAAAAACTATGCTTGAACTCAGGTGTCTTGGAGAATGTTTACCAGTTTCTGCTTCATAAGGGGCATCGCCGTGTTTTCATGTCAAGTAAAAATGGAATGCCAAGTTGCATTCGGTGATGGACGAGATCGTGACTATTGCAATGATTCAGATATCCATTACCGGTTCACCATGTCATGTAAAACTTGTGAAATGATGACTTAATTTAACATTTCCATTAAAACCCTTTCAAAATTCAGTCGTTCCGCGAAAACAACAACTCTCTATCTCAAGTAAATCCTGACCTGCTGAGGATCGTTGAAATGGTCTTCATTTTTTTAACAACAAATTGACAGAATTTTTTAAAATTGAATTAATTTGATGACTGTATTTAAAACAAATTTCTTTATTTTCAAATTCACAAAATATTCTTTGCAGTTTTGCAACACATGTATGGAAAGTATTTTAATTTTCAAATCATTTATATATGCAAAGAATATCAAGAAAAGAAAAAAGTATAACGTGTGTTGAAGTTATTAGTTGTACAGGAAATCGCTTTTTCTTTAAGTATCTGACTCTGTACTTTGGGTATTAAAGATTAGTTTCCTTATTCGCTATGTGAACCATTAATTCTTTTTCAGCTATTGCAAAAGTAGAAACAAAACGGCCATTCAAGGTTAACAGTAATTCTTTGTTATTCGTCTAATGATTATTTTGTTAGCAATCATTATATTATTACCCTCTCAATAGGTATAATAACGAAGGTAATATTGATTTACATTATTACCCTCTCAATAGGTATAGTAACGAAGGTAATATTGATTTACATTATTACCCTCTCAAAAGGTATAGTGACGAAGGTAATATTGATTTATATTATTACCCTCTCAATAGGTTTAGTAACGAAGGTAATATTGATTTACATTATTACCCTCTCAATAGGTATAATAACGAAGGTAATATTGATTTACATTATTAACCTCTCAATAGGTATAGTAACGAAGGTAATATTGATTTACATTATTACCCTCTCAATAGGTATAGTGATGAAGGTAATATTGATTTGTATTATTACCCTCTCGATAGGTTAAGTAACGAAGGTAATATTGATTTACATTATTACCCTCACAATAGGTATAGTGACGAAGGTAATATTGATTTACATTATTACCCTCTCAACAGGTTTAGTAACGAAGGTAATATTGATTGTGTGCTCCACCTATTGAGAACAAACGAGCGAAACTAACATTAAGAACACACTCGAGTTAGCATGCTATAAGACTACAAAACAATGTACATATACATGTACTGCTAAATCATTCAGCAGCAAAAATAATGGACAGCAAAGATATAAAGTCGACATGTGATATACTTAAATCATTATTTAAAAAACGAATACCAAGTTCTTGAAAAGATTTTTGTCAAAAATTTTATTAAAAAAGAGGCGGAAGATACCAGAGTGACAATCAAAATTCATAAGTTGAAGAAAAACCGACAAAACCATGACAAAAAAACACAGAAAAACGACGAAAAGACAAATAACAGTCTTCAAAAACAATTCACAAAAAACAAAAAACAAATCACCACAAACATCACCAAAACCGTTAAAGAGTGATATCAGTCAGATGAGTTAATCCTTTTTCAACTGATTTTTGTAGTTTGTTCTTATGTTGTACTGTTACACCACTGTCCGAGGTTAAGGGGAGGGTTTGGCGCCAGCAAACTAGTTTAACCCCGCCACATTCTGTAAGTGCCTGTCCCATGTCAGGAACCTGTAGTTCAGTGGTTGTCGTTAGTTCATGTCCGTCATATTTGTTGTTCGCAAATTGTTTTGTTATAAATTAGGCCGTTAGTTTTCTCAATTGAATTGTTTCCTATTTTCATGTCGGAGCCGACTATACGGTATGTGTTTTTCTCATTGTTGAAGGCCGTACGTATGCCTATAATTGCTTTCATCCTTTTCATTTAAATTTTGGTGGATAGTTGTCTCATTGTCAATCATACCACATCTCCTTATTCTTATAAAGAATGATTTCAGATTAGTTTTTTTATAATATAAGAACCGAGGCATCGATTTCTGTATGGATGATACATGTACCCTAATAAGACCGAAATAATATGGACGTGGGTAACAACCGTAATAATTGAAGAATACTTCCAGTCAACTGTAAAATATATAATCATGTGTTGGTATAATGATTGTGTATTGTGTTGTATTGTTCAGATGTACCTTATTTTTCCTCATTGAGTGGCGAGGGATTGAGAATCATTTGAAAAACCTGACTGAAACAGTGTGAGACTATCGCATCAGACTAAAAAAATATGCAACACATAAACGATATCAATCTATTATCTACATTTGATTTAAGTATGTACACATCTGTATCGTTTATATTCAATATTTTGATTTTATTTTTATTGATAACTGATTTCGTTTTTATCTATTTCATCTTTATTAAAACATGTATTTAAAAATTTGGAAATAGAAGTTTAAGCTTTTCGGCAAATGTTGAAAAAATGCAATAAAAAAGGAAATGGAATAAAATGAAACTAGATAAGTACAATTTCCGGTATAATTTGCTCCACAAATTGAGGTTTGACAACTAATGAAAAGTTTTATTTCCGCTATTTACACATTTTCAAGTATGTTAAAATGTCAATAACCTAGTTGCAGTTTTGGTTCAACATTAAAAATCCTTACAACGATTACTGCAAAATATAACGAATAATAAACATAAATTCGGGAATCCGTTTTATTTGAATAAAAAATATAACTCCCTGTGTGTCTTCAACTTTTTGGATGTTTTGTTTTTATCATTATCAAATTAAAAAGAACAATATATGTTTTAGGTGAAATATGAAGTTATGTTCATAACATAAATCTTGTATTCTAACGAACATATGTAGGATTTAATAATGTCCCCCATGAAATAATGTCCACCGGACATTATTTCATAGTAAATACTGTCCATGGACAATATTTACTTATTTAAATGTGTCCCGGACACAATTTCCTATGAAAATATGTCCTCAGGTATGAAAAAGTGTCCATGAACATGGACATTATTTAATACTATAATTCTGTCCAGGTGGACATTTTTTCACAGGACATTATGTCCGCCAGGACATTTTTTGATATGATTAAAGTATTAAATGATATCCATTGCCTTGTTATTACTGGACGTATTTTAACCTATAATTGCGAACTTTCATACATTGTTACTTTGACAGAGAGTTGTCTCAATGGAACTCATACCATCCTTATCTTCTTATTTATATTTTTTAATATATATACATGTATAATGATTTAAATTCAAACAAATAGCAGATGTTGTTCAGTATTATTTTCCTTGGAGGACACAATTCAATAACAATTACTACGAAAAATTGTCCTGTAGGTGGACCATATTTCATAAAAGAGGGACGAAAGATACCAGAGGGACAGTCAAACTCATAGATCGAAAACAAACTGACAACGCCATGGCCAAAAATAAAAAGACAAATAGACAAATAATAGTACAGATGACACAACATAGAAAACTAAAGAGTAAGCAACACGAACCAAACCAAAAACTGGGGGTGATCTCAGGTGCTCCGGAAGGGTAAGCATAACTGTTGCTGTAAAATGCTGTCCACTTAGAGGACAATATTTCATGGCAATTGACAAAATTTAATACCAAAATTCTTTTCTTCTTTTGCCTTCTTCTCATAATAAATATAGTAAAGTTCTTCACATTGATTTTATACTTTACACACTTCCTTCTTATTGTTCTTCTTTCATTGTCATTTATAGCATTAGCTGGGTATTTCTTAGAACTTAAATGTCTCTATATTCACTTCCATCCATTATTTGTTTGTTTACATTTGTATATTAATCAATTTCTAATCAATCGTTCAGTTTTTATTCAAATTCAAGTATAATAAAACTTTTTAATGACCTTTGTATTACTTCCCTTGGAGGACATAATTTAATAGCAACTACTATGAAAACTTGTCCTGTGGATTGACACTATTTCATAACTTTTGCAGTAAAAATCTGTCCACTTGAGGGACAATATTTCATGGCGATGGACATTATTTAATACCAAAATTCTATCAAAAACTGTCCAGGTGGACACTTTTTCACAGGACACTATTATGTCTTACACATACACAAATGAGTTCAACTCTAAACTGCTCTTATTTCTTTAATGCATTCGTATCTGAACAATTAACACTTTTTTAATTGCAACTGAAGTGCCTCGGGGGTCTCGCGGTAGCGTGGTTACCTCGAGTGCGGGAGATCGTGGTGTTCGATCCCGACCGGATCAAACAAAGAATTGAACATTGGTATTTGCTGCTTGTCCACAAATTACGCGGCATTTAGGAATAAGAGCAAATATGGGTCGGCTCCGAACTAGAACAGTTTCTCCAGGAAGGGTGACATGTCTTCCTGTGGTTGGTTACCTTGTGGCCTCTAGCTCTAGGTTCTGCAATCTCAACCTTCCCCTTTTAATCTAGATAAGTGGACTGACAAAATGTAGATAAAAGAAAATACAATAAAAATCAATACATGAAATGCACTGTGTTCTATAAAATGGTACAATAGCCTACTGATAAGAAAGCATGCAATCATATACTCTGATACGGGTTGCTGTACCTCATAGTAGATTTCATACACCAACATCACATTATATTGATAGACTATCTTGTGCATTTTTGTACATTATAACAAAAGTTAATGCTCTTAACAATGTAGGGAGGTAAAGAGAAGTGCATTTAACAAACACATAAGCATTTGAAGGACATTTGAAAATTGGCGTTCATTTTAGTAGGTATTTTATTCCCAAATAATGATCCATCTCATTCAAAGTCTTATGGAAAATCCAGAAAGGCTGGTATACGTTTGGTGGGCAGATTGGTAGCGATGAGGGGAGGATGTACAAATTTGCCTCCCCCTTAATACGCCAGTAGACTTACTAGATATAAAAAAACGATGTTAGGGTGTTGGGTTGCTGTCTCTTTGACGTACACCTTTAATCATAAAATATAGAATGTCCGTGTAGTATTAACAAGTACATATTCATTCATAAATTAAAAGATCAATAATCGGGGATATTCCCACGCTATATAAAGTACTAGGTGAAATCCGTTATATACTTATAAACCGTGACCTTATAATTATGACAAATATGGATTGTGAAAACTTTCATTTTCATTAACTGATTACTGTGATTGGAGTACCAAAATCAGGGAGAATTCCAGACATTGGACATAAAAGCTGAAGTGGTAAGTGTAATATTTCATTCAAGAAAAAGTAACAACACAAAAATGAGAGGTAAAATCAATGTTGTGGTTAAAAATGTGCCCCTTGGAACAGGTGGCACGTGCATGTAACAAGCTAAAATGATCTTGTCGGAACACTTTCATTAATTGTGATCCCGTTTTCCAAGATGAGAACACTTTTATAAACACTCCAGTACTTTATAATGCTATTTATGAGAATATATGTAAATATATCTGCTTTTTTAAGATATAATAAAAATGCTTAATATGAAACCTAAACATGAGCCATTTATTTATATATGTATTCAAACGGCAAAATTAATATGTATGATACTTTCTCCATTTTCAGTCCTAATCGTGACGATCGTGTCATCTCTGATAACATGTCTGTATGGAACACCAGTAAAACTATACTGTAATCCTTGTCGGAATGGTCAATACACACCACTTACACCAAGGATAGACTATGGTGTGACCAAAGATATACTATCTAACGAAGTAGTTAACTTTTACCAAGTTCTGAATACAGCATACATAAAAGAGGTAACTATAATTACATGTTGAGAAGAATGACGGCCGTTTTTTATATATTCAATGCGCCCGGTCATCAGCGAAATCATTTATTTTAGCACACCCCATTAAGTTTTAAAAAACGTAAGGTTTATACAAAATACTTGACTCTTTAGTGGTGTTGACATTTCTGAGTCTTACTTCCGAAAAGTTAATTCTTGATTGGATAATTTGAATATTAATTCTACTTTAGAGTGTTAAAGTTCATTTGCAAATATATTTATAGAAACCTTGTTACCGTTTGTTTTTTTTATGTAAATACGTAAATGTTTTCTTGTGTAACATGAATCTCTTAAGATTTTTTTTTCAATTCAGTCAGCAGCTTTGACACAATCAACGTCGATGAATGATTTACGGGATCTAACACCACCATGCCCAATGCCAACTAGACACTCAGTGGTAAGTTTTTTATCCTGTCATTTGGGGAAGGGCGGGGTTCTTTTGTTACTTCTTTACATTGACTTATTAGCGTGTATATTTTATATTAATAATGATAGTGGTAATAAATCTGTAGTCATTACAAAAGAAAGTATCTTATAATTTCATTTTGTTAATAGTTTTCGTCATTATTAATATATTTGTTATAATGTCAGTCTTGAATATCTTTACCAAACGTCCAATTATATATATTTCAGAGATCTTGGATTATATGTGTATACGACAAAATATCTGAAACTCTTAAAAATGTGACTGACAACTCAATATATAGTTCAACTTTGAATACCAATGATATTGTGAGAGCGGCTAGGAAAGTACTGTGCCATTTTAAACTCGTAATGATACAGATAACAGGCAGTCGTGACAGTCATCTCCAAACAGAATTATCAGACAATTCATGTTCACCGATTCCTCAACTGAGGATGGTGACACCTGGTCCAAGATTATTTGATAAAACCTTAGAATCTTTACGAGTCGCCAGAAATATTTTATATAAAACAAACGAAACACTAGTTATGAATGTATTAGGTAGGTTATTTAAATTTAGAAGTGAGAGAAGTAGAAGAAAAGGCAATAGAAAAGGGAGAAAAAATAAATGTAAAAGAATAAAAAACAAAAATAGAAAATGCAAAAGAAGAAATAGAAATAGAAATAAACTTAAAAGAAGAAATAATCAAAATAAGCTCAATAGAAGACGAAATCAAAATAGATTAAAGCGAAAGAAGTCAAATAGAAAAAATAGAGTTAAATCTGGTAGAAAAAATATTGTTAATTGACATCTGAATGTTTATTTCCTCAGGAAAGTTTTCGGAATCCCCTTCTAGTCATATAATATTTTGGGCATTTTATTAACTTTTTATTTTTCAATCTCCAATTTATACTGCCATCATTAGTTTTAACTAACGTAGCACAAGTTATTTTTTTAATACAATTAGCGATAACTAACTGGTCACACTTTTAAAGTACACTTGTAGTTTATAACATTTTAGCGATAACTAACTGGTCACACTTTTAAAATAATATTTTTTGTACACTTGTAGTTTATAACATTTTATATTATGTACTAATATTTTTTATTTAGATTTATTTATGAGCTTGGTAAATAGCAGTGCTTTGAATGTGTTCATAGATGAATTTAAGACGATTTTCACAGTAACGGTGACGCACTTTGTATTTCTTCCATCTGTGTTTTTTTTCTTCTCTAAATGTAATATATTACAGGAAGGGATATTTCTGTTGTTTTTTTTTTTTTGTAAAACTTGTTAAATTTACTTGTTTAAAATGAATCAATTGACCTTAAAATAAATACTTTCATCTTTTGGGGAATTATTGAAGATATTATATGCAATGGTCTATAGAATTAGTGCTTTCATGATATAGCTTTGGGTCACAGATATAGACTCTCTTTTCATGGGACTTTCTTACTGTAAGTAACGTCAAAATATGAAACCTTTTCAATGTATTTGGCTTAAATAAAAACCGATACTTAAAAACAATGAAACAAGAAATATCCCATTCTATGATACCATAAATTTTCGCATTTGCTATTAGATATACACTTGTAGTTTTTTATACATATGTAGTAATTATAACATGCTTACACATATAATCTTTTCTTGTGTGGTTTTAATCTTATATATAAATATGTATTTGTACTAACTTATTTTAAAATCATTTGGTTGTGGCTTATATGAAAATGCAAACCGTGATCGATTATTCTTATATTTTTTTTTAAATCTTTAATTGATTTTAGATATTGAAATACTTTCCTTTCATATACTTTTTTTTATCTACTGTTTATACTGTTATGATTCATATAATAACCAACAGGTTATAAGTTAAATTTTAATTTATTCATGACTCATAATATCAAGAGGTCATCTGTTTAAAATTTGTTTAAATCATATTTTTCCTTTTATAATGATTTATTTTTAATAAAAGTGCGTACAAGGCACAAGACTTAGTGAAAATGTAACATACATAATTTCCCTGTTTGAAAATATTTTTTTGTAACATGCAAGATTTTTTTTTAAAGTTTCAGATTTCTAATACTGTAGCTGGAAGACAAAGAAATATGGCGATTGACTTACATTCCAGAATAATAAAGTTGTGATTTTTATACAATGATATATCAATTGCATTTGTGATATGTACATATAGTAGTATTGCATTTATTTTGTGTTCTTGACATGCATTTATGATGTTTTTTTGATCTCTTATTTATTTACAACAGATATTGTTTATTATTTCTAATATTTATCTTTATTGATATTATTAAAACAAAAATTCCACAGAAGCGGATCCATTGTTTGCTGTCTAACATTAAATTGTACTTTGATTTGATAAAACTACATAGATTTATGAATCAACTTTCAAACGATGGTGTGAACCTAAACATAACTTTATTACATCTATATATGGAATACTAATGAGAGCAAATTCATGATTCCGCTTTTGGGGGATTATATTATGTGTATCTTTCATTATCATGTGATAATGATTTGACTATATATTGTATTGGTCAAGACCTATCCTGTAGGAATACCGTGTAAGCTCTAAGAGCTGTATCCGTTCATTACATATCAGGAAAACATGTTTTTGTTTATAATAGTTTTCTTGGAAATTTTTATTTATATGTTTTACATGATATTGAATAAATTTATTGTTTACATGTTAAAAGAGTTATACTTATTATTCATAATAATGATTGTAAAAAATACTAGGATATACAAATTCAATTGATACTTAAAGTTACACTGAATCAAAATCATAAGAGAAGTTAGTACATGTATACTAGTTAAAAAATCATAGCCCATGTATCAAAAGACAAATATAATAAAAACATTCGAAAAATTAAATCATTAATTACCACAAGTTAAGCAGAGTCAAGTGAATGCACTCTTTGGTGAATTTGATATGGTATTTTGTGTTACTGCTTGATGAAACTAGGTGTTTTGTGTATAAGAGTCGTCAATTTTTATATCTTTAAATTGTGAAATCCGTTTTTCAAAGGGCACTTCACACCATGATTCCTCTCTTGACCCCCGGGGCCGTCAGCAGACCTATGATATCGTTCCGCAAATTTTGCCTAACAAATGATCACTTTCAAGCTACGCAACAGCATTTTTAGGTTTATTACACTTCAATGAGTTTTTTTAAAATAGTTTGTTCCTATGTTGTGCTGTTACACTATTTTCTCAGGTTAGGGGAGGGTTTGGGAGCCCTAAAACATGTTTAACCCCGCCACACTAGCTATGTGCCTGTCACAAGTCAGGAGCTTATAATTTTGAGGTTGTCGTTTGTTGTTGTATATCATAATTGTTTCGTTTATTGTTTTGTACACAAATCAGGCCGTTAGTTTCTTCGTATGAATTGTTTTATATTTGTCACAAGGGGCCTTTTATAGCTTGTCATGCGGTATCTGTTTGCTTATTGTTGAAGGGTGCAAGGTGACATATAGTTGTTAACTCCTACATTATTTGGTCTCTGGAGGAGATATATATATATGCAATCATGCCGTCCAACACCTATAATATCGTGTGATGCACTTCAAATATGTTTCTCTATGGAAGCCACTGTGGAGGGCTGAGATTAAAAAAAAAACTAGTTTAATCTTGTCACATATTCATGTTGCCTGTCCCAAGTCAGGAAGTTCGTAAACGTTTGTCTTCTGTCATATATGTTCTGTTTGTATTAGTTGTAGAATTATCTGCGGAACCGTTACGGTAGCTCTTATTGTCCTTATGACAACATTACAACGGGACACTGCGTATCCGTCCGATGCATTTGAGTTCATCCCAAGTTTTTAGTATGGTTCATGCTTAGATTTTTATGTTGTGTTTTGTGAACTGTTGTTTGTCCTGTTTTTGTTTTTGTTTTTTTGCTTATGGCCTTTATGTTGTTTTTCATTCGACTTTTGATTTTGATTGCCGTCTTGGCATCTGTTTACTTCCCCCCGTCAGATATAAGAAGGCGTATGAATACAAGGAACGATTTGCGTAATCAAAACGATTTTTTTTTGTAAACATAAAATAGAAAAGAATATTATGGCATGTAAATATTTAAGTTATTGTTGATTTTTGATTAATTTCATATCACCTTTTACTTTAGTTTCGATGACATGTTTTTTTTTTAGTTTCAATGAAATAAGTATGATAAGTAAATAAACAAACATATGAGTCAATGAACGAATGAATACTTTATTTCAAGTTGCAAGACGCATATATATGACATGGCAAACAAAGATTTATACAAAACATAACAAACAAACAGACAGCAGAGAACACGGTATGACAATATATAATGTTTGAATTTTCTTAGCTGGTCTGCTTTAAAATGATTGAAATGGGCTCGTAATAAGTTATCTAAATTGTGACGATTTTGCCAAGATTTTGACGAGTAATAGTATGATTCGCATACTTAATTGATGATGACTCTTTACTTTAAAAAATGCTGAATATTTAATTTTTTTACATCGGAACAATTTATTATGCTCCGGATATACATATAAGTATGAATAACATAGTTTCGTTTGTTCTAGTTTTCTAACCCTTCAATTTTAGTACTATAGGACTAAGCTACACGGTGAACAATAGAATTATACGGCACTCTTTTTGTTTCCTCATCGTTGGGGTAATTTTGAATTACTCAACCTCTTCTATTATTGATATGTACAGTACAAATATATTAGTTATGATATGACGTCATTTTAAATAACTATCACATATATGATTGGTCTGTCGTAAGACCTGGTTCAACAGTTTGTACCAAGTCACAACAATGATAAGGGCCATTCACTGTATACTTGCTACATTTTCGATTATTTAGGGTTTTATTCTTGCACAATTCATAGTGTAACTTTGACATTGAGTTTTTGGTATTTCCCATTTAGTATATTTGCCACTCCTGTTCTTACGGATAATTTTACTAAATCAGTTGCTTATTTTACTGGATATGATTTTATTATATTGTTTTAAATCGTTCTTGTGGTTGGAGTACTTAGAGCAATATGAAACGAATTTCTAGTGATTATGATGTTAAAAAAAACCTCTGAACTAATGCATGCATGTATTCTTAACTAAGTCTTTTGTGCACGTTTTTACCATTCATTACGAAGCCATAACGTATAATCGACTAAAATAATTCATTCGAACAGTGTTGATAGAAAACAATTACTACTTATTAACTTTTTGGTTGAGAGGCCGAAGTACATGTATAACGACCGCGACCCTGATAAACAAACAATACAGAAAGGTAAGCACATGTTTTATTTCTACAACAGAGCGATGTTTATTTGATTTTTTAAAAAATTTCCACGCGTTCCTATTTGTTGTTATAACTTTGTCATAATAGCTGTTAAATAATTTGGTGTGTTAAAATTGTCTTTCAGAACCGGTTGATACTGTCTTTTTTCAACGTTTGATAACTGTTTCTTCCATCATGGGCCTTCCCTTCGCACTTGCGATTGCAGAATTTCTGCGAGAGCGGTCACGATAAGATCACTGCATACGGCAAGATATCGGCAAATTAGAGTATGAGAAGATAATTATACTTCAATAACAGTAAATTTCCTGTAGATTTGGATAATATTAAGGATTGTCTTTACAAACCAGAGGTTCTAAAGAGCATGTGTCGCTCACCTAGGTCTTTGTGCATCTTCAACAATAAATACTTTTTAGCATTGTAGACTAGAATATAAGTCATGACTAAAATCTCTTTTTTCTTGGTCTATTACAATTTTCAAGATATTAGGCAAAAATGAAAAAAATGGTGAAATTCATCATTTAAGGGCAATAACTCCTATAAAAAATCGTCTGACAGTTGTCGATGGACAGTATGTATCTCTCAACATTTTGAACATTGTACCCGTCAGATTGTCTCTATCTATAACGATTTTCAATATAAAAGACACAATTTGCATTTATCCCTATGTTCTATTTTTAGCCATGTCGGCCATTTTGGTTAGCAGGCGGGGTCATCCGACACATGTACTCCAATGATGATTGTAGTTTCAGGGGAGAAGATTTTTGTAAAAGTTAATAGACGATGACGACGACGGACGCCAAGTGATGAGCATAGCTCAATTGTCCCTATGGACCAGGTTAGCTAAAAAGGGTCTTTCAACAAGTGTTTTATAATATAAATTAGCCATTCTGTTACTTAAAACGTCTTCATCTTTTGTCAAATTTGAAGAATCATATGATTTACGTAAACATGAAATGAATTTGCATTGAATTTTGTACTTAATGAAACGCAGGTTTTAAGTTGTTACTTTATAACTTTTGTTTATATTGACATTCTTACTTAATAGAAATAAAGGATATGTAGTATGATTACCAATTTTAGGCAACAATCCACCGTAAAACACAGAACAAGGATGTAAACAACTGTAGAGTGCTGTACAGCCTTCAGTACAATGTTCATTTCATCATAATGGCTGCCATACAAGTAGGATATGTTGTGCATTATTATTAGAAAACTAATTAAGCAATGCAAGTTCATATACCTGAAGCATCACATTAGAGTAAATAATATTCTCACCAAGAAATGTTTCCTCATTCTTCGTGTCAGATGAGCTATTCTCATTACTAGGCGTCGCTCTTCGGTCGTCATCGTCCGTTAACTTTTACAAAAATCTTATCTGAATTTATTTCCTATCAGGACCATTTTCAAACAGTTTTAAATTGTTTACTACAATTCAGAATACCATAAAACCTCTGCCAAATTCATCAATAAATGATAATATCTGTCTTAATTTCAATTTGATATTTCTTAGTAAATAAATTGTCTATCACTATAATGTGTTTTAATAAATAGCCTAGAATTAATTATTTTCAGACAAGTGAATATATATTTAATACAATTTACTCAGGCGTGTCTTTACTTCCGTAAAAAGCTATTCTATTCTGTTCCTTCAAATATTTATGTAATACATGATGAAAATGACATTTAGTAACCAAACAGAAAGAGATGATTGACCAGAGGTACTAGTATGCAAATGTTCATTTTCGATCCCTGTTTCATATCTCTTATTTTATATTCGAATATATCTTTCAACTGTTTATTTACCTGGCGATTCTATTTAAAGTTTTTAAAAAATCCAGATTTTCATATACCTATATACACTGTATGTTTGAGGTCTGAGGATTTTCATGATAGAATAAATAGTAGTGCAAAAGTCTCTGCTTTTTTCTCGAAAACCAGAGATTTTGGTGATTAAATGATGCCGCTTTACAAGTTAGTATCAAAATATCAGAATAAATCAAGATGAAAGGTATCAGATCTTACGTTTAAGAGTAATAGCAAACTACTGGTCATAAGATAATGCATTTGTGATATCATATTTTAATTTGGCACAACTAAGCTCATGTGATATTTTTGACCATTTTCAATCCAATCTATTAGGTGAAAATGACTTTTCTACTGACTTTCGTCATATATCTTTATTTTTATCTGAAAAAAAATATATCATGTATGACATTGATTAGAACTCAAGTTTAACCTTTTTATTTACAGCTATATCATTCTGTGCAGTTGCTACATGTTTTGCATGTCTCAAATCTAATCCAATCAGAAGTAAGAGTGTATTACAAGCAAGGAGGGACTTTGGAGTTACTGTTGACGTAGTCGCCCATGATGTAACAATGCTACTGGATTTCCTCAATTCGAC